GATTTACTGCAGATTTGGGAAGACTGCTCGTAGGATAATGCAGTGCCTAGTTCAGGGCAGAATAGTTTCCAAGACCCTTTTAAAAATTGCTCTTCTCCTTCAGCTGCTTCAAAGTACTCTTCATATAATTAGGGAAATGTCTGTTTATTGAAGAAATATCTGCCTATAAATTGCACAAGTATAAGCAGTCCTGATTTTCAGGGAACAACATGGGGTCCCACATTTTCCCACATTTTAAACAAACTCCTTAAAACAGTAGCCTTCTTATTTGGGTTTTGGGAATGGTTTCCTCTGTTGTTCATTTCTTAAACATTTATAAAGTGCTTAGTGTGTATAGGGCTCTGTACTAGATACTGGGGTAGAGTTTCCAAGGTGATAAGCTGGAAAGTGTGGAGAGCATGAAGTTGTGTGCCCTGAAGCCTTCTCCAGAGGCTTGTGAAAGGGAAATTTCAGGGATTCTGATTCATTGAGTCTCTTTGGCATAGGGAAGAAGGTGAATTTACCATGGCTCTACCTCCGCCCACAATAGAAGACCTCACTTATTGGAGGGAGCTTTCTTTAAGGTGTAACGAGCAAAATATGAAGAGTAGAGATTGATTTAAGAGGGGGAAAGAGGTTTCACAGCTTCTGAGGATTAGGCACAGGTGAATAGATAGATGTAAACTCTTGGCTATTGTACAATGTTTGTCAAATAAGCTCTTTAGAAAGATATTTCAAAGATAAACTAACTTTCATAATACTAGAAGCTATCATATTACAGTAATATAAAAAAAATCCACCATTTTCTCATGGATTCCTTTCATGTTATCTGATTTTAAATTTACTTTTTTTTCTGTCTGTCATTGAAAAGCTTATTTTTCTACATGCTAGTATTTTGCTTTTATTTCTGACAGTGTGGCTGACAAGTCTAAAATGTAACTAAACCGTCAAGATATATGCGTAAAAATGTGTCAATAACTAAGGAATAAATTTAAATGTTTCTAGGATAGTGTCTTTTTGCCTTAATTATATTAAAGCCTTGCCTTTATATGTTTATATATAAAGAGTTCATACATGAATTGGTATGATCTTCCTCACCTGAGAATTCCTTATACCAAGGACATTACAGGTCCAGTTCCTCTCTTATAGAAGATTATAAGTCTTTGGGCTTTTTTGCCAAGACTCTCATCATATCATTAGGGGCTTCTGATTCTTTCTCACTAGGTGATCTTAAATTTAGACATCCATGAATTGGGGCATTTAGTAGGGCATCTTTCAGTATTTGTAGCCAGTAATAATATCTGTTTATTTAGTACTTGGTATTTTTCCAAGTGCCTCCCCTCACAAATCTATGAAGTAGGCAGTGCAAATATTATTATTCCCATTTTGTAGATGAGGAAATGGAGGCTCAGATAAATTAAGGAATTCACTTATAGTCATATAATTTGTAAATATCAGATTCGTGATTTGAATTCAGGTCTTCTGACTTCAGTACTCTTTTAGATCAGCCATTCGCTCATCTAATATATTCTTTGCTAACGTTGCAATTGGAATCATGTTTAAGAGTAAGGGACCTGAAATCAGGAGTGAAATGGGTTTGATTCCTACCTGTGACATTTCATAATTGTGGGACCATGAGCTAGTAAATAATGCTTCTCAGGATTTTTCTTAAGAATAAAAGAAGTAAGATTTGTAAAGAATTTTTTTTTACAAAGTCAGATGTTATTAATGTCATTCAGTATATATTAAGCATCTATGGTATGTAATCTGTGTGCAGTGAGGGATACAAAAAGTCAATCCTTGTTCTTTTGGATCTTGCAGTCCAATGAGGGAGATAAAATCTGTAGACAAAGAATTATAAGGTATAATATGAGAGGTATGAAGTACCCCAGTGATTCAGGGGCAGTATCATGTGATTAATAATAAAATAAGTGGCAGTAAGTATGAAAAGTTTTATTTAATTTGTAACGATAATGTTTTACTGTGTATCGTGCTTTCATTTTATAAAATAATGTTCACATAATTATCTTTTATCCTTATAACAACTCTGTGAGCCATGTCAAGCCATTTTTATCACCATCTTGTAGATGAGAAAACTGAAGCTTGAAGTCCTTAAGTGACTTGCTCAGTCTAAAGTATCAAACCAGGTTTAGAACCTAGAGTTCCTGACTCCTCTTTCCACTCTCATTCACCACGTTCGTGAAATTCAGAAATTAAGATAACTTCTTAAATGTAACCTAAATATCTTTTTCTTTGGGAGTGAACAGAATGTTAGTTTACTCTTTGTAGAAGATAGTTTTTATTATGCTTTTTAAAAACTCATCAATAGAGTATAACATAGATTGAAATTCTTTGTGATAAGTCATATTCTGAGCATAGTGCAAGTTTTACTGAAGCAGCATTAACATTTATATCACTGTGGGTATTTCTTTTGCTTGGAAAGCAGCCCTTTTCTAGCAGTTGACTGGCCTCTTTCTGTCACTACTGATGTGATCACTGTATCAAAAAATGTTTGTTGGGAGCAATGGTAACTTTTTAAGGTAGCACCTCAAAATTTTAACCATATAGAGAGAGTATAGAGAGGAACACATATCTTAGTAGTGGGTTGACACAATGGATTTATGCTTTTAATGTTACACATCTGGATGCCTCTAGCTTAAATCCTGGTGCAGGTTATAAATAAAAATTATTTTGTTTCAAGAGTTGTAAAAATAGTTCTTTATAAGAGAAAAACACATTCAGATTTTCACAATTATGCCCAAGGGAGTATATCTTAGAAGGTACTGGCCTAGTAGTTGAAATAATATAAATCAAGTGTGCAGTGATGATTCCTCAAGAGAACATCAATGTTGACCCACCTTCCTTATATCCATGTGTCAGAGTCAGGACTTGAATTCAGTTCTTCCAGTTCTCTTCTCCATTCTGTCAGGTTAATGATTCTGCCTACTTTCTGAGCTTTATGCAGCTGTTTCTGAGAATTAACCATAAGTGTACCAGGAATATACTCGATAAAAATATGCAAAGGGAGAAAGAACTTTTGTAAATAGTTATCTACAGCAGATGAGGTTTTTAGCCACACATTTGATTAAAAGTTCCAGAGAAAATAAGATTCTTCTAGGTTTATTGTATACTGATGACAAAAAAGCATTTGGCAATACAAACAACTAACCTTAAAAGGTCTCCTCCCACAAGAAGTATCTCATGTTTATATTAAGATTCCTCAACAAATGCAATCACAAAGATAACCTTTCAGTGACTCTCTGTTAGTATCAAATGAAGCCTAAAACAGGGAGGCATATTTTTACTAAAGGTGTTCATCACCATGAGATCCTCCATATTAATCTAACTGTTTGTAGATGATAATGTGCTGATTGCATCAAGTTCCATAATTTTACAGAGTTTCTGCAGTGAGATTGATGATTATTCAAAAGAAAATCAGCTTAATCATCTAAAATAGGAAAAACAAAGACAAAAATATCTGTTTGCTCAGATTATAGTATATTGGCAAATGGTCAGTCCCCTGAATTTGTATCTCAATATATTTATCTTTTAGGGATAGGCAGTGCAGATGGATAGTGAATTAGGCCTAGAATTGAGAAGGAAGAGAGTGGATTGAATTGATATTACACAGCTTTTCATAATTCTAAACTGCTTCATGTTGTATGCCTATACATACTTTTAAATATTCTCCAAATAGACCTTTGTAGTTGTAGAGATACCTCAGTCTTTGAGGAGTTAAAGTTGTAGATGGCCCCAAACAGACATACAGTAGGTATTGATTAAGCTTTAACCTACTTCCAGCGATAACCTATATTCACAAAGTTGTGTAGGGGATATCATAGGGGAAATATCTTGTTAGAAAAGAGAATGAGTTGATCATTTGGTGTGAATGAGGGATAGCAGATGAGAAACCCATGTGTTCCATCAATTCTTCAGGCATATTACAAGGCCAAGGAAAGGGCTTCCAGAGTGTTGAGTGGATCCTTGGAGGGTGGAAGGATGAGGAGGAGAAGAGGAAGGATAATTGGAAAAAAATAGGCAAGAATCTCACAGGATGAGGAAGCACCAGTGTAGGGAATACCCACATTAGTGAAACCATAGATCTAAGTATTTAGAAAGTGAGGTATTAGGAAAGATTGATGTGCCACTCATATCCTATGCTATTTAAGCTAGTATTAATTGATAGTAAAAACTTTTAACATTTAAAAAAGTGTGTGTCATTTTGGCATAAGAGAAGACTGGCCTTGAAGTCAGGAAGCTCTGAATACCAGTTCTCCCTCAGACCCTTGGCTGATTATGTTAACCCCATAGCCAAGAACAAACTCCTTCACCTTATAGAGTTGCAGGTGAGTCAGAACTATCACATGTAAAATGATTGCTGAACTGCAGTTGTTGGTAGAATGTCCACATCAGGCATTGACTCTGCCCAACGAAAAAGATAATGGTCTACACAGAAAACAGTACAATGAATTACTAGACTATTATAATGATAATACCTGGCCCTAATAAATGTTTGTGTTGAACTCATCCTTAATTGATTAAATCTTAGATGGGAAACCCAGTGACTTTAGTGTGCTAGAGGTAAGTTATTAGCCTAGTAAAAACCAAGGCTATTTGTTTTATCCCATATTCTAGAGGGAAAAAACATGTGAGTATAGAGATATTGCCATATTATACACACGGAGGGCATTCAATAACTCTTACTTGATGAAGACCATTATATTAAGCATCTCAACTTTATGTTGCTGTCAGTAGAACATGCTTAGTTTTAAGGAATATTGTGGGTCAGAGTTAGTTACTTATAGTTTCATTATTTATAATTTCTAGTTTAATTAATTATATCAGGTTCTGTGTTTCATTTTCCTCCACAAACAATTAAATGTTATTTCACCTAGTTGCATGAGTCTGTTATATAGTATTCATTGTATTATTATCATAGTCATCACTCTAGTTAAATTAATATTGTAAGTTAATATATTTCATCAAACATTTCCGATAAACTTTGTCTTTCTTTTCTCTAGAAACTCAAACAGAAGAATCAGCAGCTGAAACAAATTATGGACCAATTACGGAATCTCATCTGGGACATAAATGCCATGTTGGCAATGAGGAACTGAACTGAATTTTAAATTTATACTTTATGACTATGCATAGCTATTTTGTTCTCTTTGGTTTTGATTCCTTCTTTTTTTTAACAGTAGCTTACTTGCCTTCATTGCAGTGTTGCAAAAATTAATATAAATTATTCCATTATCTCAGATATGCATTAAATATTTGCTTTATAGTTTATAAGCAATGTAACATCTCCCTGTTAAATATAGTAACTTATTGACAGCTCTTAATTTTTTTAGTGTTCTATAATTCAGCAATTAGGTGAAAAGATAAAAGATCCAATTTTTTTATTAAAATGTATTTTTCTTGAATTGTTTTTCTTGATTTTGTTATTTTTATATTGAAAGGATTAATTTAGTAACCATTTGTTAGTATCCTTTGTTTAAATAACTGTTAAAAAGTTCATCCTTTATTTCTAAATGAAAAAAAAATGAGTTTAAGCCATCTATCCCTATATATTTATACATATAAATATATAAACACTTAATCCTCCAAATTAGTATAAATGTAAATACATAGTAATTTTTGTTGGGAGGCTGCCTATTGTATCCAAACAGTTTATTTAAAACTATCATTATATGATATAATGGACCCTCATAACATTTAGTTGGTCTTTTATTGAACAGAAAAGGATTGGGGGGGGGGTATTAGTGTATATTTAAGAAATCTGTCCCTAAGTACCTAAACCTGTAAGTTTGATTTAACTTTTCTTTTGTCATGGAAATTATCAGTTTTTTTTATGGGCTTTGTGTGGCTTCATGAACCCAGAGAAGGAAATGATTACAAAGAATATGAGTGACTTCATAAAGAATAGGTCATACCAGACTAACCTTATTTCCTCTTTTGACAGTGTTACAGTCAATGCTATATAGTCAATGTTACGGTGGAATGGTCTAAATGTAACTTTACTAGATGTGTCAGGAAATGAAGTGCCTCAAGGATCTTTGCTTAACTCTGTGCTGTTAAACACTTTTATTAATGACTTGGTTAGAAGCTTAAGTGGCATATTTATCAAATCTGCATATGACAAAAGGCTAGGAAGGATAATTAACATACTGACTGATAGGCTCTTGAAAAGATGTAGCCTGGTGGATATACATGTGGACTGAATCCAATAAAATAAAATTCAATAGGGATAATAAACCTAAAGTCTTAAAGTTGTAGTTAAAAAAATCAGTCTCGCAAATGCAAGATGGAATAGATATCAGTGTATCTGAAAAAGACTTGGGGGTTTAGTGGATTGCAGATTTGTTAACAGATGAGCAATATGGGGGCAGAGCCAAGATGGAGAGCACACGAAGCAATTCAACTGAACGCTCACAACAATCCCCTCCAAAGAATTATAAAATAACTCCAAAAATTGAGTGGAGTGGAAGAGCCAATAAAAGATGAAGTGAGACATTTTTACCCAAAAACAACTTAGGAGGTTGACAGAAGAGGTCTGTGACACCAGGGTGGAAGCCAGCCCAGAACAAAGAACGAACACAGCAGCAACACCCTCAGCAGGCCTTGGAGGTGGCTGCAATAACAACAGCAGCTTTGGGAACTCTTAGTGCAGAGATAATAAGGGGTCAGACAACTGGTCAGAAAGAGATTACAGGGGACCCTTTGCTGGCACTGGTTGCAAGACCCTGTTACATTGCCTATACACAGTTCTGGGGCAAAGAGCACTAGTGCTTGTGATTACAGGAGAGCAGGGACCCTGGTCACAGTTCCAGGGTTGAGAAGGGTGCTTGTGGTCGCTGACAAGGGAGTAGGGGTCCTGATTTCAGTTCTGAGGCAAAAATGAGCCCAGGCACTTATGACTGCAAGAGTACAGGGACCCTAGTCAGTTCTAGGGCCAAGAGAAGCATGAGCACTTGAGGCTGCAGGGGAGCAAGGTCCCTTACTGAGTAAAGACCAGAGCATAGAACAGAAAAGCAGTGACCACACCTCTCCTTGGATCATACAACCTTGGAAGCACAGGAAACTTGAGAACAGCCCCAGAACTAGCTCTGAAAACAGCCACAAAAAAACTTGAAACTTGGGACAGTACCCCCTTAACCCCAGGACCAAAGCCCAACTTTAACATAAAGTTAAAAATCAAGAAATAGGCTGGAAAATGAGCAAACAACAAAAAAGAACCTGACCATAAAAAGCTGCCATGGTGACAAGGAAGATTGTCAAACTTGGAAGACAACAATGTCAAAAACAGCTACAAGCAAAGCGTCAAAGGAAAAAAAAAGTGAATTGAACACCAGCCCAACAAGAACACCTGGAAGAGCTCAAAAAATATTTAAAAAATCAAAAGGGTAGAGGTAAAATTGGGGAAAGAAATGTGATGCTAGAAAATTAGGAAACGAGAATTAACTGCTTGGTAAAAGAGATACAAAAAAGTATTGAAAAAAAAATCACCTTAAAAAACAAAATTGGCCAAATGGTAAAAGAGGCAAAAATCCACTAAAATAACTTCTTAAATAGCACAACTGGCCAAAAGAGGAAAGAATGTAAAAGCTCATTCAAGAAAGTCATTCCTTAAAAGTTAAATTTGGGCAAGTGGAAGGTCATGAGTCCATGAGACATCAAGAAACAATAAAACAAAGTCAAAAGAATGAAAAGATGGAAGATATGAAATATCAGAAAAACAACTAATGTAGAAAATAGACCAAGAAAAGATAATTTAAGAATTATTGAACTACTTGAAAGCCATGATAAAAAGAGAGAGCACCTAGACATCATCTTACAAGAAATTGTCAAGGAAAACTGTCCTGATATCCTGGAACAAGGAAGTAAAATAGAAATTGAAAGAATCCACCAATCACCTCCTGAAAGAAATCCCAAAATGAAAACTCCTAGGAATACTACTAAATTCCAAAGCTCCCAGGTCAAGGAGAAGATATTGCAAGTAGCCAGAAAGAAAAAAAAATCAAATATTGTAGAGCCACAATCAGGCTAACACAAGATTTAGTAGCTTCCACATTAAAGGAGCAGAAGACTTAGAATATGGTATTCCAGAAGGCAAAGGAGCTAGGATTACAACCAAGAAAAACCTACCCAGCAAAACTAAGTATAATCCTACAGGGGAAAAAATGGACATTTAGTGAAAATTTGAAGCATTGCTGATGAAAGATATGGGGCTATCGAATACAAGATTCAAGCATAAAAAAGGTAAATGTGAAAGAGCAATCATAAGGGTCTCAATAAGGTTAAACTTCCTGTATGGCAAGATGATACTTGTAACTACTAAGAATTTTCTCATTATTAGGGCAGTTAAGAGTATACATAGAGAGAAGGCATGGGTGTGAGTTGACTATGATGGGATTATCTTTAAAAAAAGGGGGTGGGAGGGAAAGAGGGATGCACTGGGAGAAAGAGAAAATGGGAAAATTATCTCACATAAATGAGACTGACAAGGAGAGCTTTTATAGTGGAGGGGAAAATGGGGGTGGCAGAAACTCTTGAAGGTTAGTCTCAGAATTAGTTCAAAGAGGGAAGAATATACATACACACTCAAGTACAGAAATTTATAGGGAAGTAGGGAGAGGTGGAACTGAAAGAAGTAGGAGTGCTGATTTAGTGGAGAGTGAATTAAGGGAGACAGTGGTCAGAAGCAAAACACTTGAAGATGGATAGAATAAAAAGAAAGATAAATGGGAAAAGGATGGAGGGAAATAATACACAGTAATTATAACTATGAATGTGAATGGGATAAATTCACCCATAAAATTGAAGCAGATAGCAGAATGGATTAGAAACCAGAATTCAATGATATATTGTTTACAACAATTACAGCTGAAGCAGAGTAGAGGTAAAGGACTGAAACAGAATCTGTTGTGCTTCAGCTGATGTAAAAACAAATAGACAAACATGGGTAACAACCATGACCTCAGACAAAGCAAAAGCAAAAATAGATATAATTAAAAGAGATAAGCAGGGAAACTACATTTTATTAAAAGGTGCCATAGGCAGTGAAGTAATATATTAATACTTATTAATATTAATATATGCACCAAATGTCATGGCATCCAAATTCTTGAGGAGGAAATAGTAAAACTACTAGTGGGGGCAAGGGCATCAACTTTTCCCTCTCAGAACTAGATAAATCTAACCTTAAATAACAAAGAAATTAAGAGTTGAATAGAATTTTAGAAAAGTTAGATAATCTCTGGAGAAAACTGAATGGAAATAGAAATATATGATTTTCTCAGCTGTACATGTTACCTTCAGAAAAAATTGACCATGTATAATTAGGGCATAAATATCTCAAATGCAGGAAAGTTGAAACTTTAAAAGTATCTTTTTTAGGCCATAATGAAATAAAAATTATATTCAATAAAGGGTCATGGAAACAGATCAATAATTAATTGGAAAAGAAGCAATATAACACTAAAGAATAAGTGAGTCGAAGAACAAATCATAGAAACAAAAATTGAAGAACAGTAACACTATAACAACATACCAAAACTAATGGTATGTAGCCAAAGTAGTACTTAAGGGATAATTTGTATCTCTAAACATCAATAAAAGAGAAAGAGCAGATCAATGAACTGAAAAGCATTTCAATATTGAAAAAAATAAAAAGCAAATTTAAAATCCCTAATTAAACACCAAATTGGAAATCCTGAAATGAAAGGAGGGATTAATAAACTGAAATTAAAAAAAAACCACAGCAAAACTTTGAATTAATAAATAAAATTAAGGTCTGGTTTTATGAAAAAAAAGTAACAGAAATTATTGGTTAATTAGGTTTATTTAAAAGAAGAAAATGAAATTACCATTATCAAAAATAAAAAAGGTGAATGCACCATCAGTGAAGATGAAATGAAAGCAGTTATTAGGAACTGTTTCACTCAATTATATGCTAATATATGTGACAGTCTAGGTGAAATGGATGAATTGCCCAGATTAATAGAAAGGAATACTTAATCCTATCTCAGAAAAAGAACTTGAACAAGACATGAATGAGCTCCCTAAGAAAAAATACTCAGAACCAGATCGATTCACAAGTGAATTTTATGAAACATTTAAGAAACAATTAATCCCAATATTAGATAAACTTTTATTTGGGAAAAGGTAAAGAAGGAGTACTGTCGAATTATTTTTTATGACACAAATATACTGCTAATACCTAAATCAGAGAGCAAAAGCAGAAAAAAAACTATAGAGCAATGTCTCTAATAAATATTGATGTAAAAATTAAAATACTAACAAGAAGACTATAGCAATGCATCACAAGGATCATACACTATGACTAGGTGGGATTTATATAAGGAATGTAAGGCTGGTTCAATATTA